TTCTCATTTAAAAAGATACTGCAATCAGCTGAGAGGGGCTGGTGGGAAAGAAGAGTTATTGATAGCCTACTTCGGAGAAAGCTTGATTGGAATCGTCTCGGAATAATGCGTAGATCAAGAAATCTCCCACTGGCACATATGGGATGATTTGGCTCGAGATTTTGTCAGACAATTCTATTACAATGTGGACATCGCTCCAGACAGAAACTCATTGTTTAATTTGAAGAAGAAAACCGTGAAAAGTTTCCGCGAGTATGCTATCAAATGGCGCGAGCATGCCACCAGAGTAAAACCACCCATGGACGAAGCAGAAATGGTTACAGTCTTCCTGCAAGCCTGGGAGATTGGTTACTTCCAGAATATGATGTCTGCTATGGGTAAGCCATTTGCTGAGGCCATCAAGATTGGGGAGATGGTAGAGAACGGTCTAAAAATTGGCCGGATATTGAGTCAAGTTGCCTTGAAAGCTACCTCCCAAGCCATCCAGAACGGTTCAGGGGGTTTGGCTAATCGCAAAAAGAGAGAGGAAGGAGCCATGATGGCTTCGGGTTCAAGAGGGCCTCGCCGATCATTTGACCGCTCTTATATGCCACCAAGAATCCCACAACACTATTTCCCACATCAAGATGCATCTTATGTTGTGGAACCGCCTCACTATGCGGTCATGAATGCCCGACCTTACACACGGAACCAACAACATTACAACCAAACCCGAGCTCCAACTCCCAGAAATAAATATCCCTATCAAGATCTATATAATTCTTGCCTACCACAAAATGCACACCAACATAATCCACGCCCTCGTGAGCCTCCTAGGAAAAACAATTTCACCCTTATTGGTGAATCTTACTCCAGTCTGCTTAAGAAATTTATCCAACTGGGTCTATTGCAACCTGCGCCTTCCAATCGGCAAAATCCCGAGTCTCCATCATACAGGGGCGGTACCAGTTGTGCATACCATTTAGGAATAGAAGGCCATGACATAGAAGATTGTTGGGCCCTCAAAAGGGGTGTCGAAGGCTTGATTGAAGAGAAAAGAATTGTGCTGAGGGACGAGGAGATCCCTAATGTGACTAACAATCCATTACCAGCTAACAATAATGGACCAGTCATTGGTATGCTTTGTGAGGACAAAGAGTTTGACCCGGCATTGAAGGCCATTATTGACATTGCCAATTTAGAGGCAAGACCTAAAGCGACGTTCAAACCGGCCAAAGCCGAAAAGAAAGTTGCTCTGATTCCTCAAGTTGTTGAAACAAAAATGGGCCAGCACCTGCCAACAATGTGGTTCTCTATGTTCCCAAGGCCCCAATAAAAGAACAGTTTATCCTCTACACTCCCAAGAAATTCGAGGAAAGGAAGGCTATATTGACTGTGCCAAGATTGTATATGCCAAGGGGGACCTATGTGGCGCGGGAGTCGGTAATATTTACCCAGGCTGACTGAACCCATGGTTATTAGCATCGCACCACAGAGTCCTATGAAAGATCCCACCGTAGTCCCCTAGAACTACAATAGAATTGTGGTTACATACAAAGGGAAAGAGGTTATTGGAGAAGTGAACGAGGTGAATCAGTCTGGGAAGCACCACACCCCAGAAGAGCTAAAGAAGTCCAAGATGCGCAGGGATAAACAGATATCGTCCCAGAGGCCTGTAAGCAATGAGGAAGCAGAAGATTTCTTCAGAAAGATGAAAACATCAGAATATTCAATAGTTGACCAACTCGGAAGACTCCTTCCCAGGTCTCACTCTTATCTCTGATGCTGAGTTCGGATGAACACCATAAAGTGCTCCTCAAAACACTGAATGAAGCATACGTCCTGGTGGATACTTTTGTCAAACAATTGGAAAGAATTGCCAAAAGATTCTTTGAGGTCAATAGGATTTCCTTCAGCCGCGATGATTTTCCCCCAGAGGGAGCCGCTCACAACAAAGCCCTCCACTTGATTGTTAAATGTAAGGGCTATTATGTGAAAAGAGTGATGTTATATAGTGGGTCAGAGGTCGATATTTGCCCTCTCTCAACACTCCAGAGAATGGAGATCTGAATAGAAAGAATCCGGGCAAACAATGTCTGCATACGAGATTTTGATGGGGTCAAGAGAGACATAATAGGAGAAATTGATCTGATTCTGACTATTGGCCCCGTGGATTCTGAGGTGCCCTTCCAGGTTTTGGACATGGAAACCACATACAATTTCCTCCTGGGTAGACCGTGGATTAATGCTGCTGGAGCTGTTCCCTCCACTCTTCACTAAATGGTCAAGTTTGAATATGAAAATCAAGAGATTTTTGTCCATGTAGAAGATGAGCAATCCATCTACCGGGACCCTTCAGTCCCATGTCCTGAATCTAGGGAAGGTAGTGAGCATATTGTGTACCAAGCTTTCAAAATTACGGTTGCCGACCAATTTGAAGAAGGGGTCCCATTACCTCAACCTTGCTTGTCTAATGCTTCGGTCATGGTTGCCACCCAAATGATTCGAAATAGGTACAAGCCCGGAAAGGGGCTCGGGTTATCTCTGCAGGGCATTACTGAGCCTATTATCCCAATTGCCAATGAGAAGTGCTTTGGTGTGGGCTTCCGAGCTACAGAGGCGACAGAACATGAGCTGATAAGCGCAAAGAAAATGGGTGGGTCCTGTCCCAGCCCATTCCACATCTCGCCCAATCATTTTCCAAACCAAAGTATGTGTAAGAAGAAAAGAGGCCTTTATGGTCGGAGAAATCGATGATATATGTGAAGCCTTGAAACAAATGCTATATGAGTCCCACATGGTCCAGCCAGGGGAAGGCACGAGAAATGCCATAGTGCAGTATATGGGGCCAGATTTCATGCTTCAGAACTAGGAGGCTACCAAATTCCCCGTCAAGCGAGAGTCTCGGTAATTCAGTCTTGCCATCTCTTCTACATTACGAGATATTTTAGGGTGTAACTCGAATGCTTTACTTTATTGTATTTTTATTCTAATGTAAACCCTCATATCTTCAATTCAATTAAATGGAGTCAATATTTCATCGTCCATAGATGTCTCTTTTCTTTTGTTCTGATTTTGCTATTTTTCTTATCTTTTTCTTTTCAGTTCTAATAATGCGGACTTAAATAACATGATATACTTGCGGACTTCATGCCAAGATCCTAAAATGCTGTCTAACTTTGAAATAATGAATCAAGACCCAGAATATGATGAAGATGAGGCTTTTAGGGAAATAAATCAAGAATTGGAACAATTTGAGAATAAGCCTAAGCCAAACATAAATGAAACCGAGCCAGTTAATTTGGGCAGTTCAGAAGAGATCCTAGAAACCATGATAAGCATTCACGCTGATGAAAGAACCAGAGATGCTTTGATCCAACTTTTGTTTGAATTCAAAGACGTGTTCGCATGGTCTTATGATGATATGCCAGGGCTGGGTGTTAATTTGGTGGTACATAAATTGCCTACCTATCCCGGTTATCCACCGGTCCAACGGAAGCAAAGAAAGTTCAAAACTGACATTAGTGATAAGATTAACGAAGAAGTCATGAAACAACTGAAAGCTGGTATGATCCGAGTGGTCCGATACACCACGTGGCTGGCTAATATGGTTCCAGTGCCAAAGAAAGATGGAAAAACCCGAGTATGTGTTGATTACCGGGATTTGAACAAGGCATGTCCCAAGGATAACTTTCCACTGCCAAACATCCACATTCTTGTTGATAACTGTGCTAAACACGAGATACAGTTTTTTGTGGATTGTTATGATGGATATCAAGAGGTTCTGATGGATGAAGAAGATGCAGAAAAGACTGCTTTCACCACACCTTGGGGTACTTACTGTTACAGGGTCATGCCATTTGGTTTGAAAAACGCCGGGGTAACCTACATGAGAGCTATAACTGCCATCTTTCATGACATGATGCACCAGGAAATTGAGGTATATATGGATGATGTGATCATTAAATCCAGAACACAAGAAGACCATGTGCGAGATGTGAGGAAGTTCTTTGAGCGGCTGCGCATGTATGACTTGAAATTGAACCCAGCTAAATGTGCATTTGAAGTTCTGTCTTGGAAACTTCTAGGGTTTATAGTTAGTCGGAGGGGTATCGAATTAGATCCAACAAAAATAAAATCTATTCGGGATTTTTCCCCTCCAAGGACCAAGAAAGAGGTCATGAGACTGCTAGGGAGGTTGAATTACATCAACAGATTCATTGCTCAGCTTACTACCACTTGTGAGCCCATATTTAAGTTGTTGAAGAAAGATGCGGAAATCAAATGGACAGATGAGTGTCAAGAAGCTTTTGATAAAATCAAAGAATATCTGCCATATCCGTCAGTCTTGGTTCCACCCAAGCAAGGAAGACCTTTGTTCTTGTACCTGACAGTCTTGGAAAATTCTTTCGGCTGTGTCATGGGGCAACACGATGTGACCGGGAAAAGAGAGCAAGCCATATACTATCTGAGCAAGAAGTTTACCAGTTATGAAGTTAAATACACTTTGTTGGAAAGAACATGTTGCGCCCTAACTTGGGTCGCCCAGAAGCTCAGACATTATCTGTTGGCTTACACCACATATCTCATAACCAGGATGAATTCTTTGAAGTATATATTCTAGAAGCCAATGCCCACTGGAAGGTTAGCAAAATGGCAGATCCTGCTCACCGAGTTTGACATAGTCTATGTCACCCGTACGGCGATGAAAGCCCAACCCCTAAGCACTTACTTTCAGGATGGGGAAGTAAACTCGGTTGAAGAAGTTTCGAAGAGCACCAATGCCTGGAAAATGTTCTTTAATGGGGTTGTAAATGCAAAAGGCATGAAAATTGGGGGAATTCTAATTTCGCACACATGTCAGCACTATCCGGCCACAACCCAGCTTCGGTTCGTCTGTACAAACAATAACGCCGAGTATGAAGCCTGCATTCTAGGCATGAACATGGCAATTGATCTGGGTGTAAAGGAATTATTAATCAGGGGGATTCTAATTTAATCATTCGGCAAGCCCAAGGCGAATGGGAAACTCGAAACATCAAACTCATCTCGTATATCCACATGTGGAAGATCTCAGCAAACGGTTCAAGTCCGTGGAGTTCAAGTATAACCCTCGATTCTATAATGAGTTAGCTGATGCACTAGCTACTTTGGCCTCAGTGTTGCCAGACCCGGGTAATGTTCACATTGACCCGCTGGAAATTCAGGTTCGAGAAAGGCATAGTTATTGTAATGCAATTGAAATGGAGCCAGATGTTCAGCCATGGAATCATGATATCAAAAGGTTTGTGAAAACAAAAGAATATCCCGAACAGGCCAGCGGGGATCAAAAGAGAACAAACTATCAGAAGGCTTGCAAACAGTTTCTTTTTGAGCGGAGAAGTCCTATACAAAAAAACTCCTGATCTGAATCTTTTGAGGTGCGTAGATTCCCGAGAAGCTGAAAAGAACATGAATGAAGTGCATTCGGGAGTATGTGGGCCTCACATGAATGGGTATGTACTTGCAAAAAAAAATCCTCCGGGCAAGTTATTACTCGATGACCATGGAAAAAGATTGTTTTAGTTTAATCCAAAAATGCCATCAGTGCCAGATACACGGTGACCTTATTCATGCACCGCCTTCAGAGTTGCATCCTATGTCAGTGCCTTGGCCTTTCGTTGCCTGGGGCATGGATGTTATTGGGCCGATCGAGCCGAAAGCTTCAAATAGGCATAGATTCATCTTGGTTGCCATTGATTATTTCACAAAGAGGGTCGAAGTAGTCACTTTCAAAGTCGTTACCAAGAAAGCAGTGGTAGACTTCGTGCATTCCAACATTATTTATCGTTTTGGCATTCCTAAAACTATCATCACAGACAATGCTGCAAATTTGAATAGCCACTTGATGAGTGAGGTATGCGAACAATTTAAAATTACGCATCGTAATTCAACCCTTAGCGGCCCAAAGCTAATGGCGTTGTTGAAGCGGCGAACAAGAACATCAAGAAGATCCTCAGGAAAATGATTCAAGGTTCCAGACAATGGCATGAAAAGTTACCCTTGCACTATTGGGGTATCTCACAACCGTGCGTACATCAGTTGGGGCCACACCCTACGTATTGGTTTATGGCACTGAAGTTGTAATACATGCAGAAGCTGAGATTCCCTCTCTTCAGATCATTATTGAAGCTGAGATCGAGGATTATGAATGCGTCAAGACCCGTTTGGAACAGTTGACTATGATTGATGAAAAGCGGATAGCCACAGTTTGCCACGGGCAGTTGTACCAACAAAGAATGGCACGTGCCTACAATAAGAAAGTGCGGCCCAGAAAATTCGAAGTCGGACAACTCATCTTGAGACGTATTCTCCCGCATCATGAAGAAGCCAAAGGAAAATTTGCTCTAAATTGGAAAGGTCCGTACATTATAAGAAGAGTGTTTCCAAAAGGAGCGTTGAATTTGGGAAACATCGAAGAAAATAACCCCGAGGCAGCTGTTAATGCAGATATGGTCAAAAGGTATTACGTTTGACCCGTTTTCACAGCTTTAACATGTTCCGATTGGGATGACGAAGGATTTCCTTCCCGCTATTCAAACACTATCAACCCTTTGCAAACTCGTTGAGCCGGTTCCCTTTCTTTGATTATCCTCTTTGGAACCTAGAAGTTATTATGAAAAAAAAAGGAAAAAAAAAAGAAACAAAAGAGAAGAAAGACAAAAGAAAATCAAAAACAAAGTTATTGAACTACGTTCGACTTGATTCCAAAAGGATACATAGGCAGCCTCTCTCTAGGGTTCAGTCACACCAAAATAAAAATTTACATTCCCCCACAAAGTTAAAACTGGGACAAATGTTACAATGGTTCGGCGATGGTTGCCTGAAAGAGTCCAAAGTTGTAATTCAATCTAAATTATTTTTACTCAAATCCTTTTCAAGTCCTTCCGATCAATCAACGAGAATGTTCAAGAATTGGAGGATACAGTCACTTGGATCTGATGCAAACAAAATGAGAGAAATAAAATAAGAGAGTCTTATTGGTGAAAACCCTCACGTGCACCATACGGCAATGGCGAGCAGAGAAAATAAAAATGAGAGAGTCTTGTTAGTGCAAACCCATAAAAGGCACTATAAGGCGATGGTGAGAAGAGAAATGAGAGAGGTCAACTGGTGAAAACCCGCAAAGGGCACTACTGATCGAAAAGAGGATCTTCATAGCCATTACCACCGACACAATCCTGGGCAAGGTTTCTCAGTTTCGAGGCAAAAGTTGTGATGAATTGATAAGAGTGAGACAGTTTACAAAGATCAAGCATCCAATCCAAAAGGAATGTCATGTTCATTGAAGTTCATATGTACTCTAAATAAGTCCTTCTTTCCTTTCCCCGAAAGGGATACCTCTTGTCTAAATTCATTGTCCATTTCATTGTTTGTTTATTTTTTAATCCCTTTCGGTCTAACTCTGTTCCAAAACTAAGTCGAAGAAGGGATGGCAAGATTGATTTACATGGTTTTTATTTGATACAAGCTAATATTCAAGAGGCACCCACCCTCGGAAGGGGCATCAAGTCAACCCCGACTGGCCATGGTGGCTGATTCTTTGAAATCAAAAACTCTCGAAAGGAGGAAATCAAATTGCAAGTGCCTACAAGGGCAAAATAAAGTTGAAAAAGTTAAGTCACACGCAACAAACCGTCATGTAAAAGTTTGAAAAGTCAAAGGCTCTCCGGGGCCAGAAATGCAAGTAGTATTCAGGAAACAACTAGTGGCAGGTTGAAATCATCATCAAAACAAGATGGACCAAGATCAAGTTGCCGAAACACTCAAGGCTGCAAAATCAACCACTATTTCAAACTAACAATTCTTCTTTGTTTTAAAAACAGGAACATGTGCAATCCAAAAGAAACCTTGCAAGAAGCAGTTGCAACCTAAAAAAATAAATTGCGCGGGAGCTAGAAACAGCTTTGCAGCAACAACTCCAAAAGGGAAGTCTTCTCCAATTTCTTTCCCGCATTGTTAATCATTCAGTTTATATATAAAAAAATGAAATAAAAAAAATAATAATTTAAAAAAAGTTCAAAATCATGGTATTATAGGGTCTCCACTCCCTAACTGCGTTTTCCAATATAGGGTCTCCAATTCCTAGTTGATTTTAATTTAAACATAGGGTCTCCACTCCCTAGTCTCTTTTCCAACATAGGGTCTTCACTCCCTAGTTGAAGTTATTTTAGACATAGGGTCTCCACTCCCTAGTCTCTTTTCCAACATAGGGTCTTCACTCCCTAGTTGAAGTTATTTTAGACATAGGGTCTCCACTCCTTAGTCTCCTTTTTCAATATAGGGTCTCCACTCCCTAGTTGATTTTATTTTAGACATAGGATCTCCAATCCCTAGTCTCTTTTCCAACATAGGGTCTATGCTCCCTAGTTGATTTTATTTTAGACATAGGGTCTCCACTACCTAGTTTCTTTTTCCAACATAGGGTCTCCACTCCCTAATTGATGTTATTTTAGACATAGGGTCTCTACTCCCTAGTCTCCTTTTCCAACATAGAGTCTCCACTCCCTACTCTATTTTATTTTAGACATAGGTCTCCACTTTCTAGTTTATTTTATTTTAGACATAGGGTCTCCACTCCCTAGTCTCATTTTCCAACATAGGGTCTCCACTCCCTAGTTGAAGTTATTTATACATAGGGTCTCCAATCCCTAGTTGATGTTATTTTAGACATAGGGTCTCCACTCCCTAGTCGTTTTTCTAACATAGGGTATCCACTCCCTAGTTGAAGTTATTTTAGACATAGGGTCTCCACTCCCTTGTCATTTTTCCAACATAGGGTCTCCACTCCCTAGTTGATTTTATTTTAGACATAGGGTCTCCACTCCCTAGTTGATTTTATTTTAGACATAGGGTCTCTACTCCCTAGTCTTCTTTTCTAACATAGGGTCTCCACTCCCTAGTTGATGTTATTTTAGACATTGGGTCTCCACTCCCTAGTCTTCTTTTCCAACATAGGGTCTCTACTCCCTAGTTGATTTTATTTTAGACACAGGGTCTCCACTCCCTAGTCTTATTCTCCAACATAGGGTCTCCACTCCCTAGTTGATTCGATTTTAGACATAGGGTCTATACTCCCTAGTCTTCTTTTCCAACATAGGGTCTCCACTCCCTAGTTGATATTTCCCATCCTAAGGTACACCAATCCTTAGTTGAGACATCATTTAGACAATCAGGGTACACCATTCCCAAAGAATCATGTTTTACTAGGGTACACCAATCCCGACCTTTCATTGCTTTCAATAATAAAGTAGTATAGAGTTTTGTTACAAATAACTCACGAAACTTTCCTAGTGAAAATTGGGGCAAAAAAATTATTTTTTTGGTTTGGTGTCTGAGCATATTTTACCTCGATGCACATGGTTTGAAATGATCAAAAGAAGAAATCTTAAGCCAGAATAAAGACAAGAAAAGGAAAAGAAGTGAATCCAAAATGCAGAATCGGAGGAAAAAGATGTGAATTTCTTAAGACATGACCGAAGCCACGAGTATTGCATTTTCCATTTTAATCAGAAGAATCCATAGAAGAATGAACTAGCACCTTCAGCTAGCAAGCATCGAGGTTCAGATCAGAGTCTGAATGGAGAACCAGTCAAGACTCAAGATCAAGTTTCAGAAGACTTATAGATAGGAATCTTGTAACTCATAGCTGATAGGCTTGTTTAGTTCCTTGTCATTTTGATTTTGGTGTATTAAGGAGTTCAGCACGCAGTAACAACAACAACAACAACAGTGAAATCACAGCTTCTCGGTAGTCCCAGCTACCAAAATTTCCAGAACTACATTGACATGATTCCTTTATAGCCAAGGATATGTAGGCAACCTCAAAAGCAAGGTTCGGTCAAACTTTTTCAAAATGCTTCTCGTGGAATTTCAAACGGGCAAAAATGGCTCGTAATTACTCACTTTATCTTTGCCCGAAAATTCTTCATGTTTCCGAGCAAAGAGGGACAGCTGTAAGCACGTAATATTTTCCCTACAAAATACTCCTACAAAATCCACACAAAAAAATAATAATTTATTTTCTAATTGTTTTTTATTTTTATAGAATTTATAAGAATTTCCCTTTAATTGTTTGTTCACATTTAGTTGCGTTTTTGTGCATATTTAATATCTCAAATCATAAAAATAAAATAAAAAATTATAAAAAATTATAAAAAAAATTGGTCAAATCTTTATTTCATGGAATTTTTAGATTTTAATTGTATTTTAGGATTTAGTTACATGTTAATTGCATAATTAATACATGAAAATCAAAAATACACATTAATCACTCATGCTTTGTTTTTGCATTGATTTAATTAATTGGTCAATTTCTATTGCAATTAGTTAATTGTTAGAAAAATAGTTTATTAGGTTAATTTTG